GGTTATTAAAAAAAGGCGGAAAAAATATTGCATATAAATTAAAGTACATAAGCAAAAAAAAAAAAAAAAAAAAAAAAAATAAAAATAAAAATAAAAATAAAAAATTAATCAAAACGATTCCCTCCTTGATTTAAGGGATTGATTTGTTATTTATATTCCATGATTCATGAAATTGATTTATTATTTGCATTTTATATATTATTAGAATACTTTTGGTGAATAGAACTTCTTTTTTTTTGTTAAGAGAGGGAAATTGAATTTATATAGAGAGAGAAACCATGGTAAATTTTGAATTTTAAAGTGATTCAATGTTATAATAGAGTTGATTTTATCGTTTCAATATAATCTCTTAATGATGTAATTGATTAATTCATTGTTGAGAGAAAAGTTTTTTTTTTTTTTAATTTCTTTTTCCTGTTTTCGTGTTATTTCCCGAGGTTGAAGATGATGTTCTTCGTAGTATGATAATGTTCTTTTACAATTTCTTGGATATATGTTCTTCAATTCATACGTTAATATATGTAGATTAAAAATGTTCTTTGCTGGGTTTCAATAATACAAATCATGTTCTTTTAACTTAGATAATATGTTCTTCTATATTAATATGCGTTTGCTTTAAACCTTATATTATTTTGGGTATTATGTTTTTATCATTGTGCTCTCTTGTTTTATTTATATCCCTTATGGTTTTTTGGTAACGGTGAAAAAATATGTTTAATTTTTGTACATATTTAAAAAAAAAAATTGAAATAAAGTATGTTGAAAATGAAATTTTAAATTTTGAATTTTAAAATTCGAAAATGAAAGATTGAATTATTTTTGGTAAAAAATAATCTTAGATAGAGAAATTCTGGAAAACTCAATCTTTTGAAATGATTTGGCATTAAATGTGTGGTAAAAATCAATTAGTAACTATCTATTACCTTTTTTTAAAATTAGTTTCTCAGAACTTATCATGTTCTTTATACTTCAATGATGTATTCTTTTATAATTTAATGATATTTTTTACATTTATAAGCTAGGTTCTTTCCACTTTAATTCGGGTATACCATGTGCATGATACATCCGAAAGCGTGAACCAACCATTAGGCAAATTGACCAAACTAAGGTTTCAATTCTAATTTATGCTTATGCTTTTCATGTTTATTTTAATTTATTACATTACATGTTTTTTGCTGCCGCATCTTCCCCCTCCTTTCGCCAGAGAGGCAAATCCCCAAGTTTGTTTTTATTACGAGTACTTTATTTTTTCAGATATTCCTTTTTGTTTACGGCATACTTGTATGTAATTAATTACTTTAAATACGTATGTAGCAAATTAATTAGCAATTTAAATATCATTATGATAATTTGAGTATTTGAGACTATTGATACTTGGATAGTACTATAAGGTCTTGTAACCACATACGAGCTCATTGCTTTGGGTTTATCTATAACTAATTTATTGGTAATAGGTTGAATTGATACGACAAAAAGAAATGATTTGTGGCATGAACGATAAATTTTTACATGTGTCCATAGTAAATATATATACTTGCTAAAGACATGTGTCCATAGTAAATATATATACTTGTTAAAGACATATATATGTGATGAGTGATTTCCTGAAAAAAAAAAAATAAAAAAAATTAACACTTTGTATGTATATGTGATGAATGTGAAGTACTGTACTAAAATGTCGGTAAAGGTGTGTGTGTTAACTAGCTACAAACTTAATCTTGGAATGCATTATATATTATTGAATTTTTAATTTTTCATAAAATATCTAAAAATAAGGTGTTTAAAACACGAACTTGATATAGCCTTAAAGAATATATGTCAACAATTATTAATTAGGTCACACTTTCCTAAGCAAGTAACACACTACACACATTATGTTCTTGCATGATATCAAAATTCCTCTTGTGACATTATTGATTAGTTCCAACTAAGCAAATCATGTGCATACATGATATACCTAATTGTTAAGATATATTAGAATATATGATTTGATATATTAGAATATATATGATATTTTGAGATATTATATGGTTGGCATATCACAGTGCAGAATTCCTTCAAAAATATTTTGGGAATGACTCAGGTTATCCAATTAGAGTCACACTTGGAAGGGTATGTCTTTTCATTTTATGGTTGACAACATTAAGAAAAGGATTTCGGGAAAGAATGCGATTTAATTTGCCTATCACAGTTACAGAAGATAGTTCTTATCAACTCATTCCTAATATTCAGTGCGACCTTTGTGGGTCTCAGGAGGAGGATTTACAACACTAGTTCAGATTTTGCATTTCTGCTCAAGATGCTTGGAGGGGTGGAATTTTACAAATCCACTCACAATCTAATGCAGATTAATCTTTTGAAGATTGGATCTTGTATTATATATATCCGGCTTTTCATATGCCAGGATGGTTACCATGGTCATAGACACACCTTTTTATTGCAACTCTTTGGGGGTTGTGGATATCAAGGTATAATAGGGCCTTTAACGTCCCAGGTACGGTCGGTATTTCTATACCAGCCATTATTTGCGAGGGTCTTCACCAGCAGCGCATTTTTTCTATAGGGAAAGATAATATGCTGAGATCCTTACATCCACCAGAACAGATTGCTAACAAGCTATTTTACAAGACTCGGGTGAAGGGTTGAGGCCCACGGTTATTCTAGTCGATGGTTCTTGGAATAGGCACACTCATAGATCAAGGATGGGGTGGTGCCCGGAGTTTGGGGAGTACGGGGAACAGGGGTCTTTGGGTGGACTTCCCACGGGTTGGCACAATCAGCATTACACGCGGAAATGAATGCTTGCTTGGAGGGGCTTCAGTGGGCTGTCAAACGGATGATACGTGATGTTATTATTTATAACCGATTCAGCTTCTTTGGTTTACTCACTCAGGGACTTAAAGGGTTAGGATATTACTCTTAGATGGATGGTGGATCGTATCCGTCAGCTTAGTGGGGACTTTGATTGGTGCAGCGTTCACAAAGTGCAGCGAGACGTGGTCCAGAAGGCCCACAACCTCGCCACAATTGCAAACTCTAGTCTACTTCTTTTAATTATTTTATGTAGTGTGTTGTTTAAGCTTATGTCAAAAAAAAAAAAAAAAAAAAAAAGTTTTATTTGATCTTAGCCTAGATTATTTCCTAATGCCATCACAATATTTTACACTAATAAGTATATACATACTAAATTATAGAATTTGCCATGAAATATATTCATTACATATTTAATTACAATTTATTACCTACATAGATTGTACTTCTTAGACCTTATTAGAATTCATTTAAGTTATAAATTGAACTTGGTGACCCTTATATATAATTAATCTTGTTAGAACTTATTTTTCCTAATTAAAATACATGAAAATAAGGTGAACAAAATTGAGACTTATTACATACAAATATTCTAATATGCACTTCTCTAACGTGCTTTTTTTTAAGGTAGATAGTTAGATACCTCTAATGTATAATAATTAAACAAAATAATCACTTAATTATATAAGGGTGAATCATGGACCAATGATTATATGCCAAGATGATAATTGTCTCTTCCTTGAACACTAATCACAATATGCCAGGCGAGAATATTCAGCATTAATCAGATTTTAAACTGACCATTTTGCCAGATAATATATCAGGTTTTGTGCATGTATAATGTTATTTGTGATTTATGAATAAAGATTAAAGAGTCATATATATGCCAAACCTAATCTGATTTTTTTAGGTACTGTTCTCATTTCGGTAAATTGGTTTATAAATTTAGTAGATCTCTTTCACCAATAACTTTTTCTAAACTCGATCACTTGTAATTGTTGGTGTCACATGCTTTGAAGCATGTGGACATGTTACCCTTAGTCAAACTGTAAATGTTTTGGTAAATTAGTCAAATAACAGTGTTAAGTAAAGATGGTAAAAGAAGCAATTCCAAAGTTATTATTAGTACAACCTATAAGTGGGCTTCTAGTTTCACACTTTAAAAGTAAAACCCTTTTTACCATATGGTTTGATCTTCGAACTTAATTCATGCTTTCAAGTTTCCATACACTTTATGTTCACAAAGTCTGAACTTGTAGTTAGGCTTCTTTAATTAAGAAATAACAAATATTTGAGCTTGTAAGGGGTGATTTTTTAATCTCTCGTTGTAAGTATATTGTGCATTTCTTCAATAAAAAAAATTAAATTAAAATAAAATAAATGTATATTGAGCATGAATCTAGACACTTATAAACACGTTATATGTATAATTTTAAGTCTTTATTCAAACTAACAATGTCTTAATATTCATAGTACGGATTTTAACATAGAGGTTGGTAGAAGGGGAATAACATGGAACATGAAAAATGACAATTCAAAGTATGGACAACTCGAAGATATAACAAAGTATATTTACGAGACACGTTAGTTTAACATGTTACCATTATCAGTATGACAGTATCTCATTTTAAATTTAATAAATTCACGTTTTCTGAAATCACATATTACTTTAAAATACGTACAATTCCGCGCTCTAAATAATTTGTTGACCAATACAGGAGTATAGTTATATAGAATGTGAATGGAACTACAAAAGTGTACATCTATGGTCAAAGCTTGGCTACCCAAAAACATACCCTACGAACTCTTTCACCTCGGAGCATGCATGACGGCAAGCAAACAAGTGCAAAAGTGAAAACCACCCCGTATCTTCCGTTCCACGCTGTTATTAACCTTTTTTAAACCCCATTTTATTAATTCTAATTTCACCACCATTAGACAAAGCTTTGATTTCTGAGCTATACATGCATAAATTACTGATACGTGTTAAGCATATAATAACCATATAATTATTTTATAGTAACTTAGTAACAACTAGTTTATATAATTTATCAACTGAAACTGACCAATTATCCTTGGAATTGCAGCTTTGACTTACATTTTTTCTGTTTGATCGATCACTTTAAATAGTTTAATCATCCTATATGTATAAATTAAAGCCCTAAATACATAACTTCTTTCACTTGAAAGCTTATTACTTCCTCTTTCTTGTGTATTTTTCCCTATCAAATTTAAGCAAGAAAGAACAACTATTAACTCAAAGTAGAATACGTACAAGACAAATAATGGTTCCCATAAGGTTAAGTAGCTTTATATTTATGCTCATGTTTACTTTGCTTGAAGCTAGAGACTCCATTTTTAAGCACCGCCCTCTTTATCATCAAGGTATGTAGTTACACTTAATTTCTTTGTTTTGTCGAGGATCTTCGATCTTTAACTTCAAATTAAGATATTAATCATCAATTTATATTACATATTGCAGGGGTTTTGGAGGCGAAAATCACAAGAAATGAAATTATAGAAGCTAAAGGGATTCATCAAAACATAGTTGCCAAGGTAGAAATTTACCTCTCTATATATGTATACCCGTAATTAATAAATCTCCTATATCATCACATCATGAAGTAGTCATAGTTAACATCCGAGATTTGTGAATTGTTCAAATCATACTCCCACAAAAATCTCCCAAAACCCTTTTTCCAACCTCTCTAAATAAACCCCGTCAACTAAGAATATTTACACAAAATGCCACTGAAATATAACACTATAACGACTATATTGACAAAATTAATCAAGATTTCTTGTTTTTTCACTTGAATTTTTTGCAAGTAAGCTCTCTTAAATTAATAGCCAATTCTACATTTCTAAACCTCCCCTCTTTTTTTAAAAAAAAATTAAGAAAAAAATTAAACATTAGAAAACCCTCCTCACAAGAGGAAATCTATTGTTTTAGTATTACCTAATTTATGTCATTTGTAATTAGTGAAAACATCGTTTCATATATTTTGAACTACAATTATGTACAACTTCCAGGAAATCAAGCCCATACCTACTATTCCAGAGGAAGAAGGCAAGAAAATGATGTTAAATGGAAGGAAATTGGCGTCGAAAGATGAGTTCAAGAAAGAGAAGCCAAACACGAAAGAAAAGGAGCTAGCTAAGATGCAAATGGATAGTAGGAGTTCAAAGACCTCAGGTGCAACATCTTCATGGAAATCATGTAACAATAGAGGGAAGAAGAGAAGAAAAATGGGTGTAATATGTAATAAAAGTGTTAGAAGTATTCCTAAGAAGAAGATTAAAATTCCTGCTGGTTTTGTAGCACTAAGTGCTGATTATCACTATCCAAATTCCCATCCACCTAGACATAATTGAGATTATTATTACTATCATTAAGAAGTTGGCAAAAATATATATTTGCTACTTCAAGTTTTGTCCAAAAAAACAAATATTTCATAGGCTTTGGTAGAAAAAATGTTAGTTAGAGCAGATTCTCATACAAATTGTATTTATTCAATTACAATATAGAGATTCATTAATGTTTAAAGATAAATTTCATTTTTTTTTTCTCATATATATATATATATATATGATATTGGAGCAAATATTATAATTACTACTTGCAAAATTTCATTATTTCGAGTGTTATGACTTGTGTTTGCTTATTCTTAATCCATTTGTTACTTATTCGCTTGAAATTTACATGCAAACTAAGGTAAGTAAGAAATGAAGAAATGTTTAATGGATCAATTAAATTTCTCATTGTTTTGGTGCAGGAAGGAACAGCAGTCCATCTAGAATGCAGAGCTCAAAACCAAAACTTGAGGTACATAACTTTCCTCTTTTTTGTTAATATATGTGGACTTTCACAATTATTAATGGTCACGTAACCAGGCCATAGATTCTATTATACACCCGATTATACTTGGAAAGAGCGCATGGTACACCCCTAACCTATTTTTTTGCTCATTTCAACTAATGCCAAAGTATATTGGGTGTACCACGTGTGTAGAATGGACACTATATGATAAGTTGATAATGCAGAAGTCATTTTCCCATGATTTTTAAGGCTTAAGTATAGTACAATTACAAGGTTACTATAAATAGTTTCCATTAAACATTTGAACCTTTTTTTTTTTTTTTATTTATTTATTTATTTTTTTTTTTTTTTTTTTTTTGTAGAACTCAATCAACCTAGTGCAAATAATTAAGTTTCATAAATTTTATTACTGCTTTCTGCATAAAGATGAACAAGAAAAATTAATAAATATTCTTGCATATTTGGGTTGAAACAGGACAAAAAAACCAAGGAGGTAACAGATGAGCAGACAAGCAATGCCAGAAAACAGAAAGGGAAAAGTGTAGGAACAACAAATGAAAGCTTCCAGAAGCTAAAATCCCATGAACTTGAAGCTGCTAATGAGAAGTGGACGACTTTGATGAACAGAGACTACCCCGGAAACGGTGGTGGTCGCCGTAACCCTCCCACCAACAATCGTTAGTTTCTGAGTTTTGCTACTGAGAATAGAAAAAATGGGACTAGGGACTAGGAAGTATATGAAGATATACGTATATGTACCATAATTTTTCAGTTTTATTTTTATCTAGGCAGTTTTGAGTTTAATGTCTGCCTTTTTGGCTCAAATTTTGTTCTTCTTGTATAAGTATGGTCTGGAAAATTGAAAGTGACACACACACAATGGAGAGTGTTTAAGGTTGAATGTTATATCACTTATATGCTATGTTATACTAGTATAGTAGTATGTATGCTCTTTACAACGTACTTCCTCCGTTCAGATAATACATTTCTATTATCACGTTTGTTACATTTAGTCCCTCCGTAGATAGTTGCTTACTAGGTAGTTCTTTCTTTGCTTTGTTTTCTCTTTCTTGGTTGGTGCTATTGCCTCTTATGAATTATAAAATAAAATAAAATCATGTTTATTAATGCATAAATTCAACCGTAATATCTTAAATTATCTTAAGTCCCGTGCCATGCACGGTTTTACTTTATAGTGAATTATACTAAAACAATTATGTACCAAAAAAAAAAGAAGTATATTTTTAAAGGAAACAAAATAACTAGAATTTTAATTTATACCCATGCTAAAGACGTCAAAATTATTGATGCAAAAGACTTAACAAATAAAATGAAATGAAATAATTTATGGACTATAAGGTTTTATACTACTCCTTATAAAAAATCAAAATTTTTGATTAGTACCCATATGATATACACACATACTCGGATATCTACCCTTCGTCCATAATTTGTTAACATACTTTGTTCGACACAATGTTTTATGCAAATTTATTTTATTTTATTTTATTTTGTGATAATTAAAACCCTTTTTTTTTAATTATTTAGAGTTATTGAATTGTCAGAGATTTTTACACAATATATGAATAGTATATAAAAGTATTTATTAATATAATAACTTTTGTTTAAGTAATTTTTATAATGTTATTGCAAACATTATTATGTTGAAGTAGGGAAGGAAAAATTGTATTCTAGACAAATTATATATATATTTTTTATTGATTAGCTAAGATTGTGTATATATTACATTATTATAAATTTCTTAGTTGAAAATAGTTTTGCACAAAATTTTTGACACATGATATTAATAATAGGAAGAGTAGAAAGTAAAGAATATACATTTATATATGTTATTTAAATATTTTCTTCTCTAATTGAAATATACTTTATTGCCAAAAATATAAAAGTTGGAGAAAAAAAAAAGAATGATTAAACATAGTCATTGACTAAAAATTCTATTCTAATAATATAGTACATTCCCGTTGTCAAAAAAATATAAAAAAATATATAGTACCTTAAATATGGAAAGAAAATATTATATTTATTGAGGTTTGATAAAAAAAAAAACAAAAAAGAAAGAAAAATAAGCGGAAAAATATTTAATAAAGCGATGACACGTGTTATTCCAGATTCGCCTTTAGTATATAGTTATAGGTTCCCATTGTCAAAAAAAAAAAAAAAAATATATATAGTACCTTAAATATGAAAAGAAAATATTATAGTTATTGAGGTTTTACCAAAAGAAAAATCAAAAAAAGAATGAAAAAATAGGTGGAAAATATTTAATAAGTCGATATCATGTGTTATTCCAGATTCACCTTTAATATATAATTATTATAGATTATTAATAAGTAAAAATAATAAATAATATCTTCTAAAGAGGTCATCTAGCGCTTGGCCCCTGGTATAAGTAGGGGTGTCAACGGGGCGGGGCGGGGCGGATTTTGGCATTCCCATCCCCATCCCCGCCTCACATTTTCATCCCCATCCCCATCCCCATCCCCATGTCGGGTCTGAAAATAATCCCCGTCCCCGCCCCGGCGGGTCCAACTCTAAAACCACCCCCGCCCCATCCCCGTCCCCGCCCCATACCCGCCAAACCCCCACCCCATACCCGCCAAACCCCCGCCTCATCCCCGCCAATTCCCCGCCCCATCAGTGTTCTAGCAAATTAATCACCTCCATATAGATCAAAGCAAACCACTAATTAAAACCCAAAAAGGGCTACAAATCCTAATTCATGCAGTCTTTAAACAGCATTAAACCATTAATCATTCTTATCTTTGTAATTGTACATTATTCAGTCAAAATCATATTTTCCAGGACCAATTAATGACTCTTTTAGCTAAATTGAAAACTAATGAAAAGTACTAATAATGCGAATACTTTTTCTGAATCAAAATTTGACCAGCACATACGAATTGAAACAAGAAACTCAGCTTACAATCACAACAACACCACACAAATGCAACAATTAGGAGTGTTTCAAGAATGAACCAAACCAAATTACAAATTAAAGTCACACCGAACAGAAATCAACGGCGACAAATGTTCTAATTTATAGCAAAGTACTAATGTAAAATTGTTAGAATGGTAATTGAAAAAAAAAAGTTCAATAATTGCATTAGATTGAAAGTATCATACAAATATAACACGAAACCCTAGCTCAATCAAATGAAATATTGAAAACCGCAATCGAACAAATCATAAATAAAAGACGAATCACATACTTTCAATTGAAAACCCAATTAAGAAATTCTTAATTGAACATATTGAATTAAGAAAATTCTTATATAATAATGCGAAAACGTTTACCTAAATTGAATGAGTTGCAGCCTTGCAAGATCGAGGTTGAAGAAGAAGGATCGAAGATATTTGATTGCAGACGAGGACCACGAGGTTGAAGAAGAAGGATCGAAGAGAGGGGTTTGAGACAGTGAGGCAGTGAGAGGAGAGAGTGAGGCTAGGGTTTTTGTTTTGAGAATGAGTGAATGACTGAATGAGGGTGGGTATTGGGTAAGTGGGTTACTGGGTTAGATTTCATTAGGTGTAGTAATTTTTTTTTTTTTTAATCGTATTATGCTATGGCTAGTCGGGTCTTATGCGGGTATGGGGTGGGTATAAAGCGGGTATGGGTCGGGTATGGAGTGGGTCAGGCGGGGCGGGGCGGGTACGGGGTGGGTCAGGCGGGGCAGGGCGGGGCGGGTATGGGGCGGGTCTGGGCGGGGCGGGTATTACATAACAACCATCCCCGCCCCATCACCCATGGCGGGTATGGATTTTAGACCCATCCCCGCCCCGCGACCCGCCAAAGCTAGACCCATCCCCGCCCCATCGGGGCGGGGATGGGGCGGGTCTCCTACTAGACCCGCCCCAGTGACATCCCTAGGTATAAGCCCAAAATTTTACATTTACCCAGTAAATTTAGCCAAAAAAAAAAAATGAAATAAAAAGAATATTCTAGCCCAGATGAGTTGGCAACAGGCAACAGGCAACATCTTTTACTTTATTTTTTTTTCTTTCATCTGATTTTTTGGCATAACTTAGGGCCCGCATCGTACCATCAATATTTATTTTATTTTTTTAGAAGCTTCATGACATCAAGCTACTGAAAACGTAATTTTTTTGATTTTTAAGATGAGGAGAAGCAATTCGATCAGACCTTAAACCTTACTTTGAAAGTCAGGGTAAGGAGAAGGAATCCTTACCCGCACTGTGCGTAATGGAGATTGAACCCCTAATTTTAAGGTTGAAAAACGTAATCTTTTTCACTAGATTAAGCTTAGTTTGGTATGAAATATAATTTATTACCCATTGACATTTGTGTATGAAATATTGATTTTTTACAATGAGAAAGTTGTCACAGCTTTGTTATCTATTGTGTATTTGGTTAAGTTTCATATACTCTCTCAGTATCAATCTAATTAATATTTTTCATGAATTGTATTTAAAACAAAAAAAAAAAAAAAAAGTCTTAAAAGAAAATGTACTTTGAAATTTCAGAAAATTTGACGTTGTAAGTAAAATTTCATTTGACGTTACATACATTTGACGTTTCATGAAAACGGGTTAAATTTAATAAAAAATTTCATTACTGTTTATCCATTAGAATAAATTTTTTGGAAAGGTAATTTATATGTTGGTGACTTAAATTTTAATTTTTTCTGCCCCAAGTAAAATTCTCCAAGATTCGCCACTGGTTTAATCAATTAGTTTAATTAATTTATGCTTCATCATATAAAGCCTATACATAAAGCCCTATATATACATACATACATACATACAGTATACCATTACATCTCTAAAACTTACTTCCTCTTTCTTGTAATCAACAAAATATTAATAGCTAATTATCCCAAAGTACGTAGAATAATACAAGACAAAAAATGATTTCCATGAGGCTAAGCGGTTTTATCTTTGTGGTCATGTTTACTTTGCTTGAAGCTAGAGACACCATTTTTAAGCACCACCCTCTTTATCATCAAGGTATGTACACTTAATTATATTGCTTTGTTTTAATTTCTCAATCTTCGATCTTTAATCTCAAATTATGATATTGATTTATGAATTTCCTTACCTACTGCAGGGACTTTGGAGGCGAAATTCAATCCGCGATATGAGACTATGGAAGCTAAGGGCATTCATCAAACCATAACTGCCAAGGTAGAAATTTACTTCTAATACGCTCACTAAAACTCTTATAATAACATCATGAAAGTCTTAGTTAATCTTGGAGACTGAATCATACCCCACACATATCTCCTAATTCCTCTATTAAGTTAGAAAATTTAACCAAAATGCCACTTAAGTATGACAATATAATGACTATATTGACAAATCTAACTTCTCATTTTTTTACTTCTTCACAGAGTTTAAAACATAACATAAAAAAAAAAAAAAAAAATGATAATTTTAAGACAGTTGATTCAGTTTTTTTGGAGTATGGTTATGTTCACTGATCCGATTTGAAAATCTGAAATAGTTTTGTTTAATCAGATTTGATCAGTTTTTAAGATTGGACTAATTTTGACGGTGCATTATTTTTTGTATTTTTTTTGAAAAAAAAAAAAAAAATTCTCCGTAAAAGTTATCAAATGAAAATGTCATTAGGTTTGTATTAATTTATACTTGTAAATTTCCATATGAAGATCATCTTTGGCTGAAACGATGAAAGAATAACTA